TGTACCAATGTACCTGCACATGTGATGTGACAATAAAAGTGATTTGATTTGATTTGATATGATGGATTACGCAGTAAAAATAGAAGTGGGCTGAAAGGTCTATTGCGTTCTTACCTATTCAGTTTGTGTATCATGTTTTTGAAAAGTAACTAAGTAACTAATTACTTTTTAAAATAAATAATCAGTAGTGTTGTGATTAAATTTTTGGAGAAGTAATCAGTAACTAATTACTTTTTTCAAGTAACTTGACCAACACTGGTCTTATCTCAGTGTCTCTGCACCCTCCTGGCCTCTGATGGCCCTCAAACTTTGTTGCAGGCTCAGTCTCTATTCTGCCTTTGCTCGCTGGACCTCTGTTTTCTCACTTATTGTCATTGCCGCTGGGATTCCGTTCTGCTGTGATGGGCCGTCGGCGTCTAACCACCAAATACCTCAAATTAAATTCTGTACTTAAATAAATCATGTTCAATTCCTTCTAATGATCTCTCTCTGCACTGAACTGTAAGCAACATTAATGATGATGATACACCTCTCCATACATGGATTAATTTTTCAGCTTCAGTTTATTGATTCTTTGGATCTTTCAGAGCTGCAAAGCACCTTAAGTGTCACGGCAACATAAAGGTAAATCTGGAGTATTTTTATTCAATAGTAAGAAGATTACATGACTAACAATGTTGACCCATCACTCCTTTGAGCGGAACTATCAGACACTTGTGTAGAGCTTGGATGAGGGCAGGGCAGAGCCATTGCTGCGGGTGGGTTCAGGTATGTGCAGTCACTGAGGCAGTTCCGTAATGCTGATTGGTGATGGTACATGGCATCTAAACAACAAAAATGTCAGTTATTAGACACTAAAATAATTTAAAGCTTATAAAGCTTTATTAGTTTAGTCATAGGCCAGGTTTGCAGCAGGGGGACACTCTCAGCTAGTACTTAATGAATGCGAATGACGCTAAATGGGTAAAATAAAGAATTCCACCTGCCTTTGGACAAAACATTTGATTTTAATTTCCAGCCTGGATAAAACCACTCTTCTTCCTTCACTTTTTCTCTCAATTAAGATGATTTTGATCAGAATACACTAGCATGCTATTAATGCTTGCTGACTGGTAACATGGATTTAGGATGGGTCATCTTTATCTTTTTAATTAAATTGGCTACACAGATAAATATTAACTTCATTATTTATTAGGCAGGTGTACAAACTGGTCTGAGGAGGACTCTGCAGATGGACTCACCTGAAATGTGGGATTGTAACTGCCATTAGAGTCCCCTACTCCTAGAGAAATGCCACACAGGCTCAGCTCAACCAAGCACAGCATGGCTGAAAATCCTGAAAATGGACTGTTGAACTGAAAGAGAGAAAAACAGGCTTCTGAAGTTTCCTCACCTTAACTAAAAACTCGAAACTGTTTCTACCACAAGCTGGTGAAACACCTGTTATCTCGGTACCAAAGACCTCTGGAGCTGGTTCACATGCCACATTCACCTGTGCTCTGAATACACTGTGGTGAGAATAAGGCACAACGGGACCACAGATCTGTGTTTTGAGACATTTCATTGAGCACTTCTCACCACAACAACCCTCTCAACCCTGCTTCCCCATGATTTAACACCGCGGGCGTGATCTAAAGATGCCGTGCAGGTGCGTCCGCACAGCACCACAGACCACGCCCCCACCACATACACGTTCTCATTTTATACAACATGAAAGAAAAGCAGCTCACCGATTGAAATACATCTAGGAAGAAGAGGAGTGCGGCAACAAATGAAGCCCCACCAGCGGCGAAATTTAAAGCCACGACGCTTTTAACCTGTACAGACGGGACACATAGGGGACCCTTATGAGCAAGCATTTTGTCGACAGTGGGAAGGAAAAACTCCCTTTTAACAGGAAGAAACCTCCAGCAGAACCAGGCTCAGGGAGGGGCGGGGCCATCTGCTGTGATTGGTTGGGGGGAGAGAAGGAAGACAGGATAAAGACATGCTGTGGAAGAGAGACAGAGGTTAATAACAGATATGATTCAATGCAGAGAGGTCTGTTAATACATAGTGAGAAGAAACACCCAGTGCATCATGGGAATCCCCCGGCAGCCTACGTCTATTGCAGCATAACTGAGGGAGGATGCAGGGTCACCTGGTCCAGCCCTAACTATATGCTTTAGCAAAAAGGAAAGTTTGAAGCCTGATCTTGAAAGTAGAGATAGTGTCTGTCTCCTGAATCCAAACTGGAAGCTGGTTCCACAGAAGAGGGGCCTGAAAACTGAAGGCTCTGCCTCCCATTCTACTTTTAAATACTCTAGGAACAACAAGTAGGCCTGCAGAGCGAGAGCGAAGTGCTCTAATAGGCTGATATGGTCCTACAAGGTCATTAAGATAAGATGATTATTTAAGACCTTGTATGTGAGGAGCAGGATTTTGAATTCTGGATTTAACAGGAAGCCAAAACAGGAGAAATCTGCTCTCTTTCTAGTCCCTGTCAGGACTCTTGCTGCAGCACCCTGAATTTTACTTGATATCGGATCGGAAAGGAAATCAGTGGTATCGCACATCACTAGTAACCATGTTTCTGTAAGGCAGAGTAAATCAATTTGTTGATCAATTATTAAGTCATGTACTAACAGAGACTTGGAGGACAGAGACCTAATATTTAATAATCCACATTTCACTGTTTTACTCTTTGGTTCAGATGTGGATACTGTATTGTTCTTTCTTTGTAATTGTTTATGTTTAAGTTGTTTGTTGCTGGTTTTTAGTTTGTTTTTTGTCTGTTTGGGAGCTGACACAGTCTCTATGGAGATGGGTTTTTGGGGGGGTAGCAGGAGGAGAGAAGCTACAGAGAGGCGTGTAAGACTGCAACTCTACTTCCTGGTCTCAACTCTGGATAGTCATATTTTGGGGGGTTTAATAAATTTGGGCAGATTTCAAAACATGTCACTCCTGGTCTGATTGGGGACCAGGGGTCTCACTCCATGATCACAGGCTAGTTTGACTTTACGAATTGACCATAAAGTCATATTCATCTGACAATCTTAATCACACTCTAAGTTTTTCTCTCATTTCTCTGGATGTGTTTGCTCTCCTTGTCTACAGACATACTCAAGTACCATTTATCTGGTTTGTTTTCCATCACAGGTTAGAGCCTGGTTAGGAAATGTGTTTCTTTCCACTGAAACTTTAGAGTGGGTAGCAGGTCATGTAATCACTGTAACAGTGTAAGAGTTCTGAAGAAACTAATGGATGGATTATCAGACCATCTCAGAAAGATCAAGGAAGAACAGACCAGGTATCTCCAGAAGCTGAAGTACAAAATAATCAGTCACTGGAAAGTGAAATACAGCATTTATGGGACTGAACTGACTTTGTTAACTGAGCTCTGACATTATCGAGTTGTTTGGCTCTAAAAATTCACAATGAGCTATGGCCTCATTTTGTTTTTACTGACTGGATTTCAGTCAAATTACACTAAATGTTAAATTTCTGTTTCCTCGGTTGGAGAAAAATCAGGTCGAGCCTCACTCCAGTGTGTTCCAGCAGGACTACAAATTTGCAGAGACTCACCTGAAGTACAGGTATGGTGATATCACAGAGATGAGTTCCTGATCGTCTCTCTGAAGTCCCATCATATATGTTCATACATCCAGCTATGATGAACTGAAAGAGAGAGCAGTAAGAAGTCTTAGCTGACTCAGTTCAGTTCAATTCAAAGACCCTACAATAATACTCACCAACACTGGTCCCCAGATGTACACCAAGGAATCAGACACCAGACCTTTGGACCGTGTTGCCCTCAGGATCCCAAAGACCATGACAGTCAGAGCAACTATGATCTGAATCACCTGCAGGAAGACATAAAGTCTCAGAGGAAACATTCAGAGCCTTTGGCTCATTCAGCCTTTGTAAGAACAAGTGATGCCAAAGATGACGTACGTGACTAGACACAGCATTTTCAGTGGACAAACGTTTCATCAAGAAGGGACTTCTTCAGTCTCAGCTGACTGCAGGTTTCCAACATTATAAACAGTACATTTCCTCAATGACTGAAACTAGCGCCACTGAATGAGCAATGGGCTGTGAGGTCAGTTCCTTGATCATTAATATGGAAATTGTCACGACTATTGATCAACAACTACTGATCAAAAACCATTTATCAATGGCCATGAGTACCATTCAACTTTCTGCTGAGAGGAAGTTTGAACTAACACACCAAACATTTTCACATGCAGATAAATGGGATAAACTTGTTGGTTATCTTTAAAAGGTAACACGAGTCTGTATTCACATTTAGCTTGTCTTCTGGACATCATCTTTCTGAACTTTAATTTCCAACAGAGATTATTTTCCAAGGTAATCCAAAAGCCTCTGAGGACAGACGTCCTCTGTCATTAAAGTCAGCTCAGAGATCGACAGCAGAGCAGCAGCGTGGTTGTGAATCACATGCCTTCAGCATCCACAGGTTAAAGATCAGTGGTTTAATCATCTCTGTCTGGATTCAATCTCACCCCATCAGGATGTAAAGGTGTCTCACCCCCAGTGCCGGCAGTTGCTTTCTGGTGATGCTGTGGTCCCGGCGTAAAACCACGACCACGGTGCCCGATGCCGCCCCTGCTGATGGAGATTGCTGCATGTCTGAGCTCACGAGAGTCCCAGCTGGTAGCAGATAAACTCTGGGGTGGGTCTGCCCTGACGTCAGCTGTCTGACTCATTCCTATTCGCTCCTTCATGTGAAATGTCTGACTAAGGCTGGTCTTTCTATGTTTATCCCAAAGAAAGGGTTTTTACTCACTTGAGCTTCATTTTTGGTAAACATTTATTTTTATTTTGGCACATCGGCCATGAAAATGATCCAGTACAAGCTGTTTGCCGTTCCTGCAACAGTTTTCTATAGCAGGTTTCTAAACCAAAGTTATATTAGTTTTATATATACACAATACAGTATCGTCAACAGCACCAAAAAGTAAAACAGTGAAATGTGAATTATTAAACATTAGGTCTCTCTCTTCCAAGTTTCTGTTAGTACATGACTTAATAACTGATCAACAAATTGATTTACTCTGCCTTGTGCTGGAAGTGCTGTTCAGATCTTTGCAAATCTAATCTGTACAAAGCAACACTGGATGACTTTGGAAAAGAAAATAATGCTCAGGTTTCTAGCAGATTGCTGCAGACATGTTTTGTTGAGCTCACTGTTTTTTTCTGTTTTACTCAGACTCACTATTTCGTCATATTTCATACATATTTCACATCTGTCAGTGCGCCCCAGGGTGGCTGTGGCTACAACGTAGCTTGCCATCACCAGTGTGTGAATGTGTGTGTGAATGGGTGGATGACTGGATATGTAAAGCGCTTTGGGGTCCTTAGGGACTAGTAAAGCGCTATATAAATACAGGCCATTTACCATTTTACCATACGTTCATACATATCATACATACTTCAGCTCTTGTAGGCTTGTTTCTTTTACACATAAAATCGTAGAATGTGTCACCGAGCAGATGTTGTTCTGATCAGGTCTTTAAATGTCATCAGCTTCTTTTAGATGCATCAAGTCCCAGAGCAAACTGGAAATGAGAGAAAAATCAGGACTGATGCCAAACAGGATGCTGCTCTGGGCAAACTTTCGGTCTGATTCAATTATCGATAATGACGTTTGGGTCAATGTTGTTCTGCATCCTGTTTACGCCCTAGCCTAGAGGAAACCAGACTGCTACAGTTCTCACTGTGCTGTTGTTTTACAAGACAATCTTCAAATTCTATCTTAGAGTTGAATTTGTTGGCAATATCACTGCTCTCTTCCTTCAAAAACATGCAGATCTCAACTCGCAGATCAAAGACCTGGACAGCACCTTACCACGTGACAGCCATCGGGACTTGCTGTGATACAGAGCGGCCATGTGGTCGCATAGTGCCGGAAAAATCTGGGCTTTCTCTGGTCGTGTGATGATGTACTTGACTGTGACAATGAAATCAGTCATTACGTCCCTCAGCTCAGGCCCCAGCTGTTTAGATGCCAGTGCTTTGCGGTGTATCATACAGTGCATCCACTGCACATTGGAGGAGACCTCGTTTCCCAGCCATAAGCTCCCCACACCGTCCTCAGTGATTTTAAACAGTTTCTCTGCAGTGGCTCTGCCAGGAACTTGTTTGCAGAAAAGCAATTCCTCCCTCATCTCATCTCCATCAATTAATCTGACATGTTATCAGTAAGCAGTCTTTCTTACTGTCAGTGGCTTCATCCATCTGCATAGACAAGCGGCTGTCACGCACCTTATCATTAAGCGGATCCTCTATGTCCTTTGACATATCATACATGCGCCTGCCAATGGTATTATTGGACAGACGAATGGCCTGTAGTTTGCTGGCTGCTGTGTCATCAATCATAGTTGAAACCATATCCATAGCACAGGGAAGTATTCATCCCTCTGCAATTGTGTGCAGCTTTTTACTCTGTGACACTCGGTAGGCAACTTTATACCAGCTGAGCAGAGCATTTGCCGGTGTTCTGACAAAACGTTGTACCTTAGTGTAAATTTATAGTCATGTCTATGAATGAGAATATACTGCCTTACGTGGTTTATGCCTCCATCGTACATATCTAAAGGTAGGAGGCTCTGATGCCAAATCACACTATCAAAACGTGCTTCCAGCACACAGTCATCTAATGTTAACACAGAATACAAGGAGAAACGGAGAGGAAAAGATAGCTGTTTTTATTAGAAGTTGTTACATGTTTCCTCACATTTTTTGCATTTGTATTCTCAGTTGCTCTCCTTGTATTTTGCACATTCAAAATGTGCCCATCTTTGGCAAAAATCACACGGCACCTGGAAAGGAAAAATAAATAGCTCATATTCTTTTTGGTAAATACCTAGTGACGTATTTGGTAAATACTATTATATAACATTTTAAACATGATTTAAACATGATGGGCGATTGTGGCTCAAGAGTTGGGAGTTCGTCTTGTAATCGGAAGGTTGCCGGTTCGAGCCCCGGCTTGGACAGTCTCGGTCGTTGTGTCCTTGGGCAAGACACTTCACCCGTTGCCTACTGGTGGTGGTCAGAGGGCCCGGTGGCGCCAGTGTCCGGCAGCCTCGCCTCTGTCAGTGCGCCCCAGGGTGGCTGTGGCTACAATGTAGCTGCCATCACCAGTGTGTGAATGGGTGGATGACTGGATATGTAAAGCGCTTTGGGGTCCTTAGGGACTAGAAAAGCGCTATATAAATACAGGCCATTTACCATGATTAGCAAGTAATAAGACTTATGTTTTTGTTTTTAATATTTCAGTCATGCTGTGGTCTGCATCAGCATCTAACATACAGCAAACAATGCAGTAGACCTCAGCATTCCCTAAAACACATTCATGGCCATTTGCTGTTATTCAAACATCATTTCTCGAATAATAAAAAAAAAATAGTAGCACATTTTTTCCGAAAATACTTCATGGCAAATTAGTCTCCTGAATCTTTTTAATTAGAATTTAAGAAAGGTCTTATCAGAAAGTTTTTACAAAATACTATTTGTACTGTGCTGTTTGAAAAACACTATTTAAATTGTCTGTGAAGGTTCTCAGTCATCCAGGTCATCGTAGTCTAAGGAGCTTGCAAAGAAAAGCGTCTGGACTTCTTTAAGTTACTTGAAGACGTTTCACCTCTCATCCGAGAAGCTTCTTCAGTTCTAAGGTCAAATGGTGGAGAGTCCCAGATATAAACCTAGTGGGAGTTTCCCCCCACAGAGGGACAAAAGGACCCCCTGATGATCCTCTAATCGCCTGAGCCAAGGTGTGAAACTGGGTGTGGGTCCCAATCAGCCAGAGTTTCGGGTGTGTTCATTGTGAAACCTGGCCCCACCTTATCATGCGAATTCCTGAGGTCAGATGGCCCAGGATGTGAGTGGGCGTTAAGGCGTCTGGGAAGGGATCTCAAAACTGGATTATAGATGGCAGAGAGTTGGTGTCGTAAACCCCCGCCTCTGTTCAAAGATGGTCGCTCACAGTGGACATAGATGGCTTCTTTCACTCCTCTTTCAAACCATCTGTCCTCTCTGTCCAAAATGTGAACATTGGCATCCTCGAAAGAGTGTCCTTTATCCTTAAGATGCAGATGGACTGCTGAGTCTTGTCCTGTGGAGGTGGCTCTTCTGTGTTGTGCCTATTTAAATTGGAATTACACACTCTAACGTGATAGGGACGTTACTGGACTTACCTCGATGTTCAACTAGGGTGCAAGCTATCTGCATTCGCTCCAGCACAACTACTTCCGTAGTGGTTAACACCTCACTGACCTCTCCAAAAGCAAGGTAGTTTTCTGCAAACGGTGAGATTTATCATAATTATAATGTAAAATCTTAATTATAGTTAACAATAAATGGACTCATTTGAATAATAAACTCCGCAACTGCTGGAATCCTGTTGCTTGTTGTGTTGCAGTCTGTAACTGCCACTCCATGGTGTCTTCATGCCCTCTCATCCTCAGAAAATTCCTAGTTGAAAAAGCAATTTATAATGAAACAAGAAATGTTTTATCTAAGAATAATACCTCAGTATCATACATACCTCCAGTTGTGCAGAAGTTTCCTGTCATAAAAACCTTCCTTCCCCATTGGGTCTATGAGCAGTATTTTCTTCGCAGAAATGTTGACAATTTAAAAAAATAAATAAATTAGAAATTAAAAATAAAAAAAAGAAATTGCCACTGAAAACCTATTTAAGAATAACATTCATCAAGAAGCTGCTTCACAACAAATTATGCTAATTAATAACACATACCACAAGAATCCAGTGTGTACCAAAGTTCACAGGGCACAGCCACATGCTGGGAACTTCATCTGTGGGATTGGACGTGTAGAATAATTTCGATGTACTTAGGTACCATGCATCTCAGGGTGTTTTCAAATACAGTCTTTTTTAAAGGAACTGAACTCTGTCCCCAGAAACAGAAACTAGTCCACATTTTGGACTAAACGTCCAACTTCCCTTGCTGATGCCTCTAAACTGCCCAGTAAACAAGGAGCAGCAGGTGTGCAGCGTTCTGTGTAAGCATACAAAAATGTTATAGAACATACAGTAAATACCTTTTTTTTTATATTTCAAAATAAGTGGGCTAAGGACATTTCTTACTTGCCTTTTGTCTCTCAATGAGACGGTGCAGGTATGCATCAATTACCTGTTTTGAAAAATCTGAGTTTATACACCAACAGCAACGATTTCTGAAGTAACTGTCACGGACCCGGCTGTGGAGGACTCAGGAGTCCGTGAGCAGTGGTTATTATTATTATTGTTGTTGTTATTATTATTATTATTATTACGACTATTATTTGGGGTCTGTGTCGTCTACTGTTCTGTCCATGTTTGTATGTAGAGTGTGAGTGTCTGCTTCTCTCTCTCTCTCCCGTCCTTGGGGCTGTTGACGGAAGCACGCATCGTGGGAGAGGCGTGTCCGGGCGACTGTCGTCATCGGGAGTCCCTCTTTGCTGTTGCAGCTGATTACCTGACCAGCTGGTGGTAATCATCCCTCCCGGCTAGGAAGAGGTATTTAACCTGGACTAGCGGCGACAGTCGACGTGGGATTATTACTCTTGACCGGTATAGTCGGTGCTAGGCGTTTGGTCTGGGGAGTCGACTAGCGTGTGTGGCTAATTGTGGTTTTTCCTTCTTCTTCCAGGAAAGTCGAGCGAAGAAGCGAGTTAGGGAGCACACAAACTAAGGGGGCTACAGCACGGGACGCACTGGGAGCAAGGGATGAGCACCATTGGCAAATTACATCTGAGTTAATTGTTGGACTGACCTGTCTATTCACTGTAAATAAAGTGCACTGTGGCATTGCAGAGTCCTGTGTTTTGGGTCCTACTTTCCTCATCCCCACGGTCTGCCAGCCAGACGGTGACAGTAACTGCTTGAGTGCTGTACACAAAGGAAGGAATATAATAGCTGATAAAGGTTCTTTCTGCATATATTGGAACTGGGTTCTATGATGTCAGAGATGTCACAATATCTGTGTTGTGGTTGATAAGAATCAGAATCAGAATCAGAATCAGAATGGGGTTTATTGCCAGATGTTGAGGTTTACAACATTAGGAAATTGCTGCGGTGCTTCAGTGCAAACAATAAGAATTAAAGTGCTATGTAGAAAGAAAGATATGTGCATGAGATATACATGAGATATATACATGAGTGCAGGTGGTGATCAGTGTCAAACATGAAATGATGCAGTGACACAGCGTAGGGTCATGTGTTAGTGGTGGGGACAGTCATGTGGTTATTGTTCATGTGTCCAACAGCAGAGGGGAAGAAACTGTTCTTATGGCGAGAGGTTCTGGTGCGAATGGACCGGAGCCTCCTGCCTGAGGGGAGCAGGTCAAACAGACTGTGTCCAGGGTGAGAAGGGTCAGCTGAGATCCGGGCTGCACGCCGCAGTGTCCTGGAGGTGTACAGGTCCTGCAGAGATGGGAGTTTGCAGCCAATCACCTTCTCAGCAGAGCGCACAACACGCTGCAGTCTCTGTTTGTCCCTGATAGTGGCTCCAGCGTACCACACGGTGATGGAGGAGGTGAGGATGGACTCGATGATTGCGGTGTAGAACTGCATCATCGTCCGTGTTGGCAGGTTGAATTTCTTCAGCTGCCTCAGGAAGTACATCCTCTGCTGGGCTTTCTTGATGATGGAGGTGATGGTGGGCTCCCACTTCAGGTCCTGGGTGATGGTGGTACCCAGGAAGCGGAATGAGTCCACAGAGGTGATGGGGGTGTCAGTCAGGATGATGGGGGGGAGTGGGGCTGTGTGCTTCCTGAAGTCCACAATAATCTCCACTGTCTTCTGGGCATTCAGCACCAGGTTGTTGTGGCTGCACCAGGTCACCAGACGTTCAACCTCCCTCCTGTAGGCAGACTCGTCCCCGTCCGAGATGAGCCCAATGACGGTGGTGTCATCTGCGAAGACTCTTTCCTATTGAAGTGTAAGGGAGAAATCTTATTGGAGTTTTGCTATCTAAAGGGAAGGGAAGTTCTTGTTCAAGCGTTTCTGGTCCTGGCACTGAATTTAACTCTTGGTGGGAGGCACAACTCTTGTCAGCCATTTTTGGTGCATAATGAATAATAGAGGGTCTGATATCCTCTGGCCTTTGCTGGCACTGAGGGTTAGCAGTAGGATGGCAGGGGGGCATCTTCAGGTTTGTGCTCCTGTTCACTGGCTGACTGTGAGTTGGGCATTTGTCATTGTCACTGACATTTACAGGGTGGCTTCTTCTGTACGGCTTAATATGGTCAATACTGTACTGATTTTTAAAGTAGCTCCCTCAGTGTTTTTGAATCTAACACATTTACCAGAGATGTCCTGAATGTGTACGGACCTGAAAAATCTGGATCAAGTCTTCCTCCCTTCCTTCCAC